TTCAAGACCTGAGGAAATCCTCTAGGAACGATCAGAAACTGTTGAACCCTGAAAGATGGACTTTGTCCTTTCACTGTGCATAGCACTCCAGTCTGCAAGTAATATCAGAGAATAAGGTATCGCCAAGTGGATTAACTCTGTCAACTGTAAGACTACATTAGAATTACTCCATGAAGATAGTATGGGGACATTATGTTGCCTGGAACACAGGCAGAAACCTTTCTATCAGCAGCGTGTGCATAGCATGGGTGTACCATTGCTGTACCCCACTGTTAGAGTACAGGTTCAGAAACCATCAATGGATTCTTGGGGTGTGGGGTTTATGCATCCAATGACACTTAAGAACAGGGTGTATGTATCTGTCCTGAATAAGGAGAAAACAGAAAATTGCCAAGAACAAAACTTCTACCATCATGTTGACTGCAATCTAAAATTGTCACTTGGATTATCATGGACTTGCCATGCCAGCTTGGAAAGCACCCAGTCTGATAGCATCATTTTTAAGTCTTGGTTAAGACAGAGGAGAACCCACAGGCTAGAGTATGGAAAGTCTCACAAAACAAACAGGATGTGAGTTCCCTTTTGTTATCTGACCTTGCTATTCTTCATTGAGAAAACCCAGATCCCCATAAACCTGACATCGTGACCTGAAATAGTCAAATGAATTGGGAAGCAAGTGACATGTTAGTCAAAGAATGACATTACATATTCAGGGAGTCTCAGCGATACTTTCAATAGCATGAATAAATACACTGATGTGGTGGCAAGGACCATTGCTCACATATGACTTATGATGGCCCTGTGAAATCCCTTGGAGGTGGTTGGATAAGCAATGGTCCCTCTGCTCAGTTAAAAAGCTGAGGCTCATAGAAGTGCAATGACTTGACCCAGTACAGGCAGCCACACCAAACCCACAGCCCCAGCCCATGCCCATTCATAGCATCAGGTCTAGGCAACCTTGTGTTCTATTAGTGTCACCTTGAAAAACAGCCTTGAATCTGTTCCTTAATCATGGGTATATTTCGTAAGTCATTTATCTTTATTAAAAACATGTCGAAAGTTAAACAGAACCATATATATCCACAGGACATAATCTATTTATTAAGCAAACATTTAGGTGATAATGAAAACACACACCTGACTAATTACAAAAGGAAGCAAGATGGTGACCAAAACACATAATATTAAAATTTAAATATAAAATGTCATTAAACAAATTAATGAATCTACAACTAATTCAAAGATCTTTCTATTGTCACAGTTCTTTGACAAAAAAGTTATTTCTTTTCTGAATCCGACTTTCACAGTATGTTAGTGCTGATGTACATGTAGAGACAATCTAAATAGTCCATTCAACAGATTAGCTCCACAAGTTAAGGTAGAACTTACTTTCACACAGACATATTCTAGATTTGGGAGATATTCTTAAGGTTGTCAATTAAACCACCTTTAGTCAATCTATAGTTGAGCCATGGCAGCAGGCCCCTTTGGAGCCTAAGCATCATTTACAACAGTGATGCTCACAGATAGATGAGTGTCATGTAGATTCAAGAAACCCATGGTGTGTTGCTCAGCCCCACACTCTCCATATTTCCTTTGCCAACCCAGTCCTTTTAACTTCCTCCCTTCTTCAGCTCCCAACAGACCCTACCACTTGTTTACTCTCTCTCAAAGAACAAGGAGCAGATATGACCTGCAGAGCAAGCATCTCTAGCCAGGAAAGTCAATGAAGCAGGGTAGAGAAGACAGTGATGGCTGCCAAGGAGTAGTGAGGTGAGAATGAAGGATGCCAGAGAGGGCTCTGCCCTGCTGACACTAATAACTAGGAGATGGTCATTGTCCTTGAGTCAGGCATTCCTAATATGAAAACCCCCCATAATGTTTCTGGGCAGAGTTCTGAATGAGCAACTGTAGCCAATGACTAAAATGGGCTGTGTACTGCCTCTCCATTTGAACTAGCAGTGTACCTTCCTACTCAGGGTAAGTCATCATTATCTCTGGCCTTGGCCTGCTAGGGCTCCCTAGCTGGTCACTGGTCTCCTTCTGTTAATGCCACCCACCTCTACCTTTCAAGAATACCATGGCTATCGCATACAGAGATCCTTCTAAACCACAACCTTATCAAGTCACACCATGTTGGTTTAGAGGTGTTTAGTTATCCTTGGAATAAAATCGAAATAATTGGTGGTGACTTATCAAACACCTAGCCCCCTGGCATCTTTATCCTTTACTGTACTTTCATGATGGCCACAAGCTTCCTGGCAGTTTCCAGTTCTGAGACTTTTGCATTTATCATGACCTCTGCTGAATTGCTGCTTAGCTAATTCTTTTCCACAGCCCATCACTCCTATCTCTACTCCAATATGATGATTTTCTTATTCTCAGGGCCGGTCCTTGTCATTTTCTCCATCCTTGGCCTGTTTCATTCTCTCCAGAGCATGGGGTACTGGACATTATCCTATGCATCTGCTTGGTTGTTGGTTACATATAGCAGCAAGTTTGTCTGTCTTTTCCTCTTTTTTGGTACACTCTAAAAGGAGAAAAGTGACCCTTTATTTGAGGGGTCACTGACACCCTTCCTTGCCTCCAGCATCCCTCTACATGTGCCTTTAGTAAATTGTCCACTGGAAACAGGCAATACTGATGCACACGTCTATTTCCTACTTGTGGAAATCAAGCATTCTTGATAGAGCATCAGCTGCAGTTGTTTTTGTAGTCTTGAGTATTTAGAGGTGAAGAGGGCACAGCCAATGACATGACTCCCTGAGCTCTCAAGGGTTTTTCCTTCCCTACCCAGCACTTCAGATGTCTCACTCCACTTCCAGGAGTGACATAGCAGGACAGAGAGCCAGCCTTACAGCTACACTGCAAGAGCAATGGCTGCCTAGCTCTCTCAGGGACACATGGTAGTCATACCTGGAAACAGGTCAACTCTGAGTCACCTGAAAATCATCCTGGTGAATCCTTTGTGAGACCAGATGGATGTTGACAACCTTGAGTACCTTTGGGACTTTCAGAGCTCAGCAGTCTAGATTCTAATTTCTATCTTGCTACCTACTCCCTGTGTGACCTATGGCAGTTGGTCATCCTGATGGACAAGATGTGGCTTCTATAAGATAAACCAAACCATGTTGAAATGGCATTCCAAAATGGTGACCTGCATTGGTGATAGAGATGATGCTTGACAGTTTTAGCATTCTCATCTCCAAATATTAATAATAAGAGTACCTTTCCCCAAGTTCTAATGTGGGCCAGTCAGTTAACATGCAGCAAATACTGGCTGTCACTATTAAGACTCCTAAGGAAAACCTGCTTCCTCTTGTGTTACTGGGAAAGGTTCCAAGACTGATAATATATGAAAATGAACATCTAAATATTCTGGAGAAAATGTGTCGACAGTGTAACTAAGCAGCAAAGAAGATAATTACTTACTCTTTTACATATAGGGGGTGTCTTGGAGCTTATGCCATGATCTTTAAACTAGATCTTCCCACAGGATGACAGAAATGCCTCCCCAGTCACAGGAGAGAAACCATTGCTAATACTCAGATTCTCAAAACGCCTCTCATAGTCAGCATTCTCTTGTGGTGAAGAGACACCATGACCAAGACAACTCTTACAAAGAAAGCATTTACAAGAAAAAGCATTTATAAGTGCAAGCAGGCACTGGAGCATTAGCTGAGAGTCATATCCTGGTTCATAAACTAAGAGAGCAAGTCTGAGCCCCAGCCTGGCATGGACAGTGATACACTTCCTCCAACAAGACCACGCCCACTCACTCCAGCAAGGCCACACATCCCAATTCTCCCAGTCCTCTCAAATAGTGGCACTCACTGGTAACTAAGCATGCAAACAGATGAGCCCATGGGAGCCATTCTTATTCAAACTACCAAAATGACCAATATCACTTTTTAGTGAGGTTGGTGACATGAAAATTTGAAAATAATGATTTAAGAGCATTTTTTCTGACATTCCTGTAGAATTTGGGTTTCCATGTCACAAAATCTTTAATGGGAATCAACCCATCATCTAATATTTTTCAACACACTCAAGCACAGAAGACATGGAGAAGTAGAAAGAACACTGAGCCATGAACTCTTCCTTCCAAGACAAAGGCATCTTTTACTGTTTCCAATCAGGCTAAAGTAGGAAGGGCTCTTAACTCTGACACAGATGTCTTTTTAGCCAATAAGATTGGATGATCTCACCTGTTCATGGTTCGGCTATCAAAGGGCACTCTCATATAACATTTGTGTGCTGTGTTACAAATGTGGATGACTCTACAGGTAAGAGCAGAGCAATTACAATTTCCAAAACGTAGTTCAATTTCAATCCATGTCCTCCTGAATCTAGCTCTAAGAATTTACAGCGGCTTAACGGCTCTATGAGATTAATGTGACTTTTCTGTGCTTTCCTAGCTATCAAATTTAAATAAGTAGTCAGTCATGGGATGACATTAGTGACACTGGACTGGAGCCAGAACACCACAATTCTGGTCATCTATGTTTTTATGGGGATATCAAATCGCAAAGAAGAAAATATGTATAATGAGCTGGTACTAACGTGAAGCCCAGCAGTCTCACCGTTCCCCAAGCCTCTCATTGGAGGCAGATGCCCCAACGGCAACTCCACACTGCCTTGTCACCGCACTGCTCTGCTCCTTTCACTTCCATTACCTTGTGTCTTTCCAACACATTATTTAATGACATTGCTTTCATTGGACCAGTGTCTTGATATTAACATAAGGACCTGTAAATTCACTTCTCTGGATCGGCAAAAAGGGACTATGCAAAAGAAATAAGCAGGGAAGGAAATTCAATGGAAACATTGTAAAACTAGAGATCTGTAAGAAAAAAGAAAAGTGGGTGTCCTTTGAAACAACATTTACAGTCAGATGTCACTGCAAAAGAGGTGCTGGTGTCTGGAGCTGTGCATCGCAACAACATCGGTTAGTTTAGCATAAGAAACGCTTGAGGGAACTGTGGCTCTCCACGGCTTACCTCATCATCTTTATACCAGCACAAGCTTTCCGCAGTGAGGACGAACCAGTAGCCCTTCGAGCCTCCTTTCATGATGCCAATGTTGCTGACGGTCAGCCAGCCCTTACGAATCACCTGCAAGAAAGCAGACATCAGCAGAACCATTGAGTGTAAGAAAATGGAGAGCAGAAGTCTAGGGCAAACTAAAAGCAAGATGCGAATTGCAGTAAGAACAGCATTGCCCGCCCCCCACACACTTGGCTTCCACCGAGCTGTTGGAGAAAGTATATCTTCCAAAAACTTAGATGGCCAGCGGGAGGTGACTAAAACAAAAATCTTGGGCTCATATGGATGGCAGAGCAGAGTTGACTGAAATAGACAAGAATGAATTGAAGCATTCTGACTGACTGTACCAGCCTATTTATGGAAGTGCTGCTACAATTAAAGCATATTTTTGTTGATTGATTGGATAGACTCCCCATGCCTACTACTCCATCTCTCCTTCCAGGCTACTGGTCCATTTGTCTGCCTGGCTTGAAGCTCATTAAAACTTGCAGCAGACACTGGTCAGCAAATGGCAAAAACCAGAAACTCTCGCCAACCAATTAGATGCTTGTTAACAAGCCAGAATCTGGCTGAGTGAGCAAGAAAGCTGAAATGATGAACATTTTAGTTTGGGGCCTTTGAATGGTCTTGATTTATCCATCTCCTTCTGGTTGTTATTTGCCACAGAGTAAAATATGCAGCATCTTAGAAAAATCATTCAATGGTTTTCAAATTCTAAAATGTTAACAACTGGGTGACAAGTATGACAGAACTTAAAAGTGGCTTTAAGGAAAAAAATGAATTTTTCCTCACAGTGGTTATAAAGTTAATTTATTCCACACATGGAATAGTTTCCCATATCCTTTATGCTAGGTGGTTTTATTATCTCAAAACCAGAAGTGCAGTTCTATGTGAAATTTTACATTATCCTAAAGTTTAAAATGTATCCTATTTCAAAAACATGCACTGTCCTAGACATGCTAAAAATGCCTATTTTTTAAATTACTTGTTAAATGACGATTGGTTCCTGAAAATGCTCTATTAATAAGATTCTATATTTCTATTAAATTATATATCGAAGTTTAAGAAAGAACATAAGAAAATTATTAAATACACCAAAGTTCTCACGGCTGATTTTTCAAAATTCTTTCTATATTTACAGTCCAGGCCACACATGATTCCTTTTCAGAATCCCCACTGACCATTCTCCTTCCTCAAGGCTGTGTTGATTTTACATATCTCCAAAGAGCATTCCTCCTGAGCCCAGAGCAAGGTGGTTTTTCAGCCCCTTCTTCTTATGCTCTACTATAGAGATGACAATGTACCTCAAAGTACAATTCTTACCAGACACAGAGAGTCAATCAAGTGCTTTCTAAAATCCACAAAGTCCTAGACTAGGTATTCTCTGAGTGAATCAGAACAAATACACACAATGTCCAAGGACCTATATTTTAATATAGGGGCCCCTTACTCATACTGCAGCTTGAAGACCATGGAACATATCCGTGCAACATATAAAATTAAAGCTCTGTCTTAGAGCAAATGATCATGGCAAGGTTTCAATAAAAAATTTAAAAATTTTGACAAACTAGGTAACCCAAATTCTGAATCACCTTCCAGGTACTATTTTAGCACCTTCTTCTCTGGACAAGTCTATCACACCCTCCTAAGGATCGTTTGTGTTGGTAAGCATCTCTTACTATGATTATATCAACACCATATCTTTCTGAATCTGCTGAATTATAAGTAATTTGTTATTGTAGTCCTGGAAGAGTTCTTCTATATCCAAAGACACTGAACAAAGTGAAATATTGGTGTGCTTTCTACTGATAAATTTTAGACCCTGGTAGGATGACACAGTGTCAGATGGTATTCCATAGGGAAAACAACAACAACAAAAACAAATATTAATTTATGGCAGGGCTCTCATGGGCATTCTCTCTATTATCTCTCTCTCTCTCTCTCTCTCTCTCTCTCTCTCTCTGTCTCTCTCTCTCCCCCTCTCTCTGAAATTCTTTTAAAAATAAAAAGTGAAGGCTATAAAAAGAGCTGGACTGAATTTGAAGTTAGATGCTAGATTTGACTGTCTCACTCTTCTGGAAATACAAGAAATAAATTCTAGGTATATAGCTCTGATATAAGTATACTTATTTTTAAATTCTTGGACTGGCCAGATGGCTCAGTGGGTAAAGGCACTTGCTTCCAGATGACTGGTATATGGAGAGAATCAACTCCTGCAATTTAATTTGTCGTCTGGTCTCTGCTCACATACATAAATAAATAAAAGTGACATTTTAAAAAATATGTATATGTCTGTTGTATTCACCAATTGTATCAAAAGTACTTAGAAATAAATTTGAAACTATGATATTGCAATTGGAAACATTTTTAACTGTCTTAAAAACTTTGTGTGAGATATGTATCAAGTCCCTATTACTGATAGCTTTATTGCTGAACTCTTGGATACCCAGTTCAAGGATGTTGGCTTCAATGTGTGCAATAAATGTTAATAAATCTAAGCTGTTTTCTTCTTTCCTAGATACATGAAAGTGGATGTTCCACTCTATCCAACATTCCAAGGAATCTAGTATGCCCCCATGAACAGAGAGAGCACATTTGGTTTATTTATTTATCCATTTTTAAGGGCCTTTTAAAAACTAAGCAAACATCACACTAATAACCTATAGTCTTGGCCTTGTTCTTCATTTTTATTTTGAAACAAGTCTCACTAAACTGCCAGGCTAGCCTTGAACTCTCTCTATAGACAAGGTAGCCCTTGAAACTCTGCTTTCTGCCTTGGTCCAACACAGCCTGGGTTATTGATAGGCCTGTCCCACAAGGCCACTTAAAACTAGATTTTATAAGCCATTGCAATAATCCAACTAAGAAATAAGTAGTGTGAAAATGTAAGTCTGGATGTGAAAAACAAAAAAGAACCTAATCTACTGGAGAAATTCCCAGGGAGTTAAATGAACAGGACTTGCAGACTTGCAGCTGGATGAAGGGGAATTTCTGATGGTGTCAATGAGCAGCCAATAATCGCTAGCCACAGATTCCAACTCCAGGGATTAGTTTTAAGTGATATGTATGATAGCAAAATGCACTCTTAATTTCAAAACTTTAAATAAAGAATTGAAAATGTCAGCTAACATTTAAATACTTACAAAGAAATAACATTTTGCATGAATTAGGTTATGTAAAATCTATTTCTAATTAACTCATCTGTTTTGTTTCATAGTTTAATTTGGCTACTAGAAAACATATTTGTTTCTGGTGTTTTAGAATGGTTTTTAAATGCTTGCCTCTACCATCTTTCAGAGCCAACCATTGCAAAATTTAGAAAGAACAGAGAAAAATGATCAATCTTTAGAAAGCAGGGCGTTGGTGGGTTCATTTAAGACTATGCTGAATTTGAGGTACTTGTAGAAGACACATATAGGGGAGACCTTCTGGAGAAAAGGGGAGAAGCCAAGGCTGAACCTACAGGCTTAAAAGCCCTCATATATACATCAGCAACAGTTAACAGCAGTGGCTCAGGGTGGAGTTCTGTGGGAACACCAATATTTAAAAGGTGGTCAAAAAGGGCTGAAACAAAATCAGAAATACAGACCATAAGGTCCTAGATGGCAATGCAAATGGAATCGCAACCATATCAAGTTCAGTATAAGGAGGTCAGTGAGTTGACTTTAGCTCTGCCTGCTCCAGTGTGGTGGTGGGATGAGGAATGAGAGCTCACTAATGAAAAGAACAAAGAGTAAAAATGGACAAAGTGGCTGGAGAGAGATCTTCCCAGAGGGGTTAAAATCAGCATAGGCATGGGGTCAAGGGGATGAGAGGGGCGTGTTTTCTTGCTTTCCATGTAGGCAACTATTTGACAGAAAATAATTAGCAGTGAGTAGGGGTTGGTGCTGGACAGATGTAAAGAACAAGGAGGATGGAGGTAGGGGAAGAGCTGGGGGAACGGCTGGCCATGAGTTGGGCTGCCTGACTTGGTGAGTCTCCACGGAGGGTGAGGGAAGGAGAGGGCCAGATGGTAAAGGCTCACGTAGGCTCTTCCTACAGGAGACACAGAAAGTCCTGGAAGGTTGTATTTGACCTTTTCCTCCATTAAACAGGAGTCTAGGTCGTCGGCAGGGGAGTGGGGAGGTGTCAGGAGGTGACACAGTACTGGGACACTCAGTCACAGAGTGAGACTGAGCGCTCTAGAGGTAGTTCCAAAGAGCAGGGCATCAAGAAGCGGATCTGCAGTGACACGGTCAGCACTGCTGTGTCCCTGAGGCTCTGTGCACACCCAACACAAAAGGTGAGACACTGGATCTGACTGGATCCAGAGTGCTGAACTCCTGTTCCCAAAAGATCTAAGTACATTCAAAGTTTGGGACAAGAGTATAATTTGGCATTCTCAATCACCACACAAAACAGCTCTACAGCTCTGGCGGAGAGATCAGACTGGAGGTGGAGGTGGGGGAACCAACAGAGACATAGAAAATGAGGAGACAGAAGACCTACAGGACCCAGTAGGTGTGTAGCACAGTGGTTTCCAACCTGCGTGAGGGTCGTGACCTCTCTGGCAAACCTCTAGCTTCAAAGCTATTTACATTACAATTTATAACAGTAGGGAAATTTCAGTTATGAAGTAGCAGTGGAAATAATTTTATGTTTGGGGGTCACTAGAACATGAGGAACCATGTTAGGGGGTTACATGAGGGAGGGTGAGAACCACTGATGTAGTGGAAGGCAGGGACAGAGCTTAGAGTTGTGAGAGGATGTGAAGCAATAAGCTGCCTGCTGCTGCTGGCACTATTGGATTCATCACTCAAGCATGCACCACTATTTCCAGACACATCGAATGTTATGGCTGAAACAGTGTTTACTGAGCATTATTTAGTCTGCTGGATATAGTCAATTGAGCTACTTGAACAGTGAAAACCAGAGTGGTAGAACACTTGCCCTGCATGTGTAAGTCACCCTGGGTTCAATCCTCAGCAACACACACACACACACAGAGAGAGAGAGAGAGAGAGAGAGAGAGAGAGAGAGAGAGAGAGAGAGAGACAGACAGACAGACAGACAGACAGACAGAGACAGAG